ATCCTTTCAATCCTCGGATAGCGATGAGTGCTGGCTATGATGGAAAAACAATAGTGTGGGATGTAAGTTTTACTTTCTCTGCTGTCTAATCTCTTCTTCTTCTTCATATTTACATTACTAAAGATTTTGTTCTCGTCTTCTAGATATGGGAAGGCATACCTATCCAAATATACGAGATTTCACACTTCAAGTTGGTCGATGGGAAGTTTTCACCGTAAGCAAATGATTTTGTTCTGTACTCGTTATACTCCTACTCCATCTGATTGCTAATCTGTATCTTCATGATTTAGGGATGGAACGTCAATTATACTTTCAGATGATGTGGGCCAACTGTACGTATTAAGCACAGGCCAAGGGGACTCTCAAAAGGACGCTAAATATGATCAGGTACTGATAGAGCTTTAATTGCGGATTATTACTTTACTTCTACTGTCCTAGATCGGATTCTATCAGGATAAGCTTGCCGGTGCTTTGAGAGACCGACATATCTCCTAGTTTTGTTACTCGTAGTGAACAAAAATATCTTTCTCGATCAAAACATTCTGTAATCATTATTAAACATTAAGAACTCTTTTTATAGGGCACAAGCTAAGATAAAATATAGGAACATATCTCTTAACATCCATATATTCCTACTAAATAATTTTATTCTAATTGCCCCCACTCCTCCAAGAGCATACCTGCGTTTATCATTATCTCATACTAAGATGGAATTTTCTTATAATTGCTCTGTGCATCTTGCAGTTCTTCTTGGGGGATTATCGGCCATTAATTCAGGACATATATGGTAATGTCCTTGACCAGGTAAATGGCTCATCTTTTTTACCCTTCTAGTGATTCTGCTTATAAAAATTTTTCTCTCTTTTTTTTTTTTTTTTTTTTTTTTTTTTTAAAACCGTAATTCTGCATGTTATAAGCATTACGTAATCACTAATAGGCATTTTGGAAACTTTGATTCAGGAATCTCAGCTTCCACCTTATCGCCGAAATATGGAGGATCCTCTTTGTGATTCAGGTTTTAATTTCTTTTACTATGGTTACAAGTGCTTTGTGGTTCCTTCCACTCTAGATGGGCATATAATTTACTCTGTTGTTTTGCATACTAGGAATGCTTCCATATGAAGAGCCATATCAGACCATGTTTCAAAAACGCCGACTCGGCGCTTTAGGCAAAGAATGGCGACCATCTCCTTTAAAGCTTGCCGTAGGGCCAGATATCACTTTAGATCAAGATTACCAAATGCCACCACTGGCAGATCTAGACTTTGTACCGTTGCCAGAATTTCAGGATGTAATGGAGTGGGAACCAGAAATTGATAATCTAAGTGATGAAAATGACTCCGAATACAACGTGCCAGAAGAGTATTCGTCTGGAAAAGAGAAAGAATGTGTAAATTCTTCAACTTCTGGTGAGTCAGCCTCCAGTTCTGGTGAAAGCAATGAGGATGATGATCACCAGAATAGCCTTAGAAGATCGAAAAGGAAAAAACATAAGAAAGAAGTGAGTATATTTTATAATATTTCTTTGATCTCGTGCCTAAATATGCTACTTATCCGTTTTTTCCTTTTTACCAGACTGGGATCATGACTTCTTCGGGTAGGCGTGTCAAAAAGAGAAACTATGATGAGCTTGAAGGAGCTCCGAGTAATAGCAAACGTACCAGGAAATCTAGGAGTGGTCGTAAAGAATCAAAGAGGAAATCTTCAAAATCTAAATCGTCCAGACCTAGGCGAGCAGCTGCACGAAATGCCCTCTCGTGGTTTTCTAAGATAACAGGTACATCTAAAGACGCAGAAGAGGAGGACGTCTCTGAATTGAGTGGTTCATCAGAAAGTGAATCGACAACACAAGACTCAGCCACCGGGGACAGTGAACTTGATGTGGCTGTAAATGGGCATGGGAAGCAATCAAAGGGTAAAAGAATTCTTGTATGTGATTCAGACGATGAGGATCAACAATATGATATCAGAGAAACTCATCCTGCTGAAAGGAAGAGATTGGTGGTTAGGTTTCCTGTTAAGAACTCAGATAAGCTTACCTTGCTGGATAATCTACCTGGATCATCTTCAACTCCGATTTTTGGGAATGGCTTTACTGAAGTTCCTGGGAACCTTGAAATTCACGCAAATCCATTTCAAGGGATAGATGTAAGTAAAGTCAAATGGGGAATGGTTAAGACTCGTACATTAAAGCGAATGAGAGGTGAAGCAATGTCATCGAATGGACTTATGGGCTCTGACCCAGAGGAAAAGAAAGATAATGTTAACGAAGATGCAAATCACCATGACAATGGTGTTCCAGCACCTAGTGGTTTGGAATTGAAAACAGATGCAGATGGCATGGCAGTTGACACTGACATGGTGATTTCCAATGGTTTGCCAAATGGCGAGGAACTGGATGGGTCACCAAGTCGTCTGGCTGATGACGGTGCCTCTAACTGTTCTCAGGATGTTACCGATCGCCAGCATGATCTAGTAGATAGCCTTCCACCTATGTCGAGGAAACGATCCAAGAGGGTTTCAAGGGCTCCTGATGCATCTTTGAAGCAAGAAGGAAAATCGTCATCAATAGATCAGGAGACTGGTGGCTCTGATGCATTAAATGATGGTTCTGCAGACACTAGATGTGATTTGGCATTAGACTGTCAAAAGAATGGTGTGGTTGGAACAGATGTATCTCAGAGAAATGATTGTGTGGAAGAATCAAATCCTCAGATCAGTGATCCTGTCTCAATTGCTAATGATGTTCCTGCGTCACACTCACATCCTAAACGGATGTTTGATTATGTATATAGACGATCGAAGTCACGGAAGCATAATAATAATTCGGACGGGGGTGCTACTGTAACTCAAGAAGTCAGTCCAGGTTCTTGTAGTCACGATCAGCTTAGTAGCGCTAAGTCCCATGAAGGTGCCTCTAATGGATTCCATGGGACTCACTCGAATGGATTGGAGAAGTCGGAAGGCAGTTTGACACAGGTCCGAGATAAAACAAGTGATTCAAATGGAAACCAAAACTCTGAAGAAGAATGGAGATCAGCTCCTGGGGCAACACTTCGGTTAAAATCCACAAGAAATAGAAGGTCTACTTATCCTTATAGTGAAACTAAACCTATTGTAACAAAGAAGCCTCAGCAGCTAACAGAGAAGGAATCCTGGTTGACACTCTCAACACACGAAGAGGGTTCTCGTTATATTCCACAAAAAGGAGACGAAGTTGCGTATTTGCGACAGGTAAGTGCTTGTGTTAATTTTTATCTGCTGTTTCATTTCGTCAACCTTTGGTATCAATTTCTTACCAGCGGCTGTTTCTCTCATCTTTCAGGGGCATCAAGAATACTTAAACTTTAGCTCACTGAGGGAAGTGGCTCCTTGGAGTTCAGTAAAGGGAGGGAATATTAAGGCAGTGGAAATTTGTAAAGTGGAAAGTCTTGAATATGCAACACTTGCTGGTTCAGGGGATAGCTGCTGCAAAATGATACTAAAAGTCATCGATCCAGACTCAGAAGTCTTCAACAAGAGTTTCAAACTTACGTTGCCTGAGGTGGTGACCTTTCCAGATTTTCTCGTGGAAAGAAGTCGGTACGAAGCAGCAGTACAGAGGAACTGGACTTGCAGGGACAAGTGTAAGGTCTGGTGGAGAGACGAAAACGAAGAAGATGGTAGTTGGTGGGAAGGACGGATCCTAGCTGTGAAACCAAAATCACCTGACTTTCCTGATAGTCCGTGGGAGAGGTACACGGTTAAATACAAGAGTGACCCGGCCGAGACTCATCTTCACAGTCCCTGGGAGCTTTTTGATGCTGATACCAAGTGGGAGCAGCCTCACATTGATGACGAGATACGAGACCGTCTTCTCTTGGCCTTGACAAAGTTAGAGACTTCAAATAAAAGAACCAAGGTTTGTGATTCTAATCAAATTTAATATCTTTAAAGCTAAATGGATTAGGAGGAGACAAAGATACAAACACTCTCCCAAGAAGATAACAGTATGACATAATCTCTACTAATTCGTTTCAGGATTCTTATGGCCTCCAAAAACTGAACCAGACCGTGGGAAACTCCAGCTACACCAACAGGTATAAGTTTCTTCAAAGACTTGAAGAGGATTTTGATGGAGATGAAGCTGACATGGTTTTGTTTCATCTGCAGGTTCCCAGTTCCTTTGTCTCTTGAAGTGATCAGATCAAGGCTTGAGAACAACTATTACCGGAGTGTGGAATCATTGAGGCACGACGTAGCAGTTATGTTGTCCAATGCAGAAACTTTCTTTGGTCGAAATAAAAGCGTAGCGGCCAAAATCTCACATCTCTCTAACTGGTTCGACCGCACGCTACCTTCTTTGTAGCATTTCTTCCCTCATAGTAGCTAGTGCCTATGTACATAAAATGAATTTTGTTCTTTTTGTTTCATCTTCTCAAGTTATTTAGTTAGGGCTTCTGCAATTCTTTTTTTTATATAAAAAATACTCTGGTTCAAATGAATGAAGAGAATTTTTTAGGAGTTTTTCTTTTGTAGTTAGAGAAACTTAGCTTAAGGGTTCAGTTGGAGAGAATCTTTTCATTGTAAGTAAAGATATTGGAGAGGTCAAAAACAATTGAATGATGCTTTGGGAAACAGAGAACCATCTTCCGTTATCCAACCCAATTTCAGTATGATTTTGTTTTCTTCTTAGAAAACGAGAGAAAATTTCAACACTACATGCAAATGGACAGAATATAGCGTGACTTAATCTTTAATCCCGATCCTTAATCTTTTATACACACGAGCTTTTTTGCTTGACTTTCTCAATTTTCAATAATTATAAGAAATATAGCATGAGTGTGTGACTCCAACAATTCTGTATTTTGAGCTTATAGTAACTTTGAAAGTCTCATCCGAGAGCGAGTCACAGTTTAATGTAAGAAAGAGACAATAAAAGTGTAAACATCGAGAGAAACTAAAGACATAATAATTACGTTAAAGTAAAAAATGAAGATTCAAGAAACAAAGTTGTCGGCTCAAGGAAGTTTAGGGTGGCCGGAAGATTTTCCGGTGAGATTATCCGGCAACTTGTGGGATTTAGAAGGGTTGTGTTTAGTGAACCAAGTAGTGTAGAGAAACTGCTTGTGAGGGCCAACATGGTTACATATAAGCTTCAGCTTCTGTCTCTCCCTCATCCACCTCAGTATTATCTTCATATGACGCTTGCTCGTTAAACCCCTTAATCCCACTTCCTGCTCAAATTATTTTTCATATACCAATCATCAGATGAAAACTACACATTGTGTTGAACATCAATGGTGTTATAAACCTTCAAAATTCTCTACCTTTCAAAACCTGGTAATGTAAAAGAAGAGTACCTTGACACGATCCCATGTTTCAGCAATGGTGAGAGGTCCATGCTCCTTCAGAATATCAAAGATCACTCGCGTGATGGTCTGTGTTTGCTCTGGTGGTGTGTTGAGCTCGATCGGTTTCATCTTGGGTTTCGGTTTGGTAGCGAAATGCCTAATCAACAATCCAACCACATTGTGATCACTTCTGTTCCAAGAGATCACGTTCCGGAACATACTCAGATGTTTCTCCACTTGTTTTCCTCAGAAGCTACAAATGAATAACAAATCACTATTAAGAAAGATTCATTTTGACTTAATTTACCAATCCTTAGTTCAAGCTGTGTGAAGATACATACTCTTTACATCTCCTAATTCTCGATTAAACCGTTATGTTCCTAAATTACGACTCTAGAGAATTCATATTCGATTAGGTAACACAAGTGGAGAAGAAGACAAAATGAGAGATCTTGAGCATATAGAGTGAGAAACAAACCGGGGCTATTTGCAAAATTTCCAGCTAGGAATTTTATCGAACACCTTGAGTGCAATCTTGGAATCGCGGTATATAAATCACAGCGTTTGAGGAAATAAACTCTACAAATTGAACAACAAATGAAGCTTTATGGTACTTTACATAAAGTTGGATATTTACAAAACAAGTCCTCCACTTTACTCGTATTTGTTGAATATTTCTGGGGATTACGTACATGATACGGATAATCATGTAATAAAGGTTGATACTTTTGAAATTTTCTTGTAGTTTACAACTTTCTCCAAGAGCTATTGAGCTCTGAAAACTAAGAGGATTCTCAAATCCATCAGTTTGTTACAACACACAAAGCCATAAATGGCTGTGAGAGAAGAAGAAAATTTGAACTTGAGAGAGAAAAAAACAGAAGCAGTCTATGTTGTTTCTTCCTTCATGAAACTCAAAATGATTCAGTCTAAAAAAAGGCATCAAGACTTTTCTTTAACGACGTTTGTTGCTGTGCCTCTTGCTCTTCTTCTTTCTACTCCTCCTGTCATCATCAGATTCCGAGTCCGAACCTGATTCCGACTCAGACGACTCAGATGAAGAAGAGCTGTATCTTCTTCGCCTTTCCTTGCTCTTCTTCTGCTTCTTGCTGCTCTTCTTCTTCTTATTCCTCCTCCTCCTCCTCTCCTCCTCCGACTCCGACGACGAACTATACTCCGAACTACTCTCTCCAGACGATTCAGAGCCGCTACTCTCAAACACAGAGGCTTCACTGTCACTACCAGATTCAGACTTTGACCTGTGCTTTCTCTTGCTCTTCTTTGCCCTCCTCTCACCTTCTCCTTTCCCATTCCCTGCAACTACCTTCACATCATCGTCAACATCACCATCATCAACAATATCATCATCACCACCAAAAGGCTTCATTCTCAGTTTAGGGTTCTTAAGCTGCTGCGTCCTCGAAGGCCTCGAGACGTAAACCCGTTCGTTCTTGCACTCGTAAGTCCAGTGACCAGTCTGGAAACATTTCTGGCACTGTGAAGCCGCGGAGCTGCTGCCTCCAACGATTGCTGCTGACACTGGCTTGTCTTTCCTTTCCCCGAGCCTGACTGCTTTCTCGGTACTCATCAGATACATCTGCCTCTTTGCTTCCCTTTTCTCTTGCCATCTGCTTGGACCTTCTTCCTTTTGACCGTAAGCGTTGACGTTCCTTGCTGCTGCAGCCGCTGCTCGCTCAGCTTGCGTACGGCTCAGACCTTTCGCAGCGGTGAGTGCTGCGGCCTTGATCCTGTCAGCTGCAACCTGTGCTTTCTCTTCCTTTGAATCAGACATGTCTTCAGAGCTAATCAGAGATCCTTTCTTCTCTGCATCCAATGGAAAGATCACAAATTTAGACCCAAATTATAAAGACAGAGAGTTTCTTCGCACAGTTGGAAAATCAAACCCTTCCGCTGAAAACCTAAGCAGGGGCGTCGGAATTAGGGTTTCTACTCGATGCAACAATTCTATAAACTGGGTTCCGAATACCTAAGCATCACAGTAAAATTCGATTCCTAAAGTTTAAGACTTGACGATTACATCTCGAGAAGAAATTGCTAGAAAATTACGGGAGAAACTAGGTTCATCGATCTATCTACTCAATTCCAAGATCTACAGAACCTTTCGAGAAGGAACAAAAATAAAACTTACGGTTGGAAACGAGACCACCACACAAAGAAGAAAGAAGATCGAAGCAGCTTCCTTGCCGGGAGAGATTAATGGAGAGGATGAGCGAATTTGAGAAACAGAGGGAGTGAGTAAGAAGGCGGCGCAGAGCGAGGAAGAAGAAGAAGTAGACAAAAGTATTCCCAAATCCCAACTATTTTATATTTTGTTCTCAAGCCCATCAGATCTTCTTCTTTTACAAATGATAACATATACTTTTCCTTTTCTTCTTTGGCATCCTTTCCTATTTTGATTTAAAAAAACAAAATCTTAAAAATAACTAGACGTCGTGGTTCTCACTTGTGGAGCATAGATACTTGTAGAAAAACAATTTCTCGATTAATAGATTGCGTTTTTTACAAAAAGCAATTGCAGATTACTCATAAGTCATAAACATAGAGCATCGAATTGTCTTCAAAACATCTCTTTTGTGTCTATACACTTTCCTTGTTACTTCTTCCGTCCCTAAGATACTAACTAGTCTTCCTCCCTCACCTATTTTCTAATTTGTTTGGACTCTTTTCTATAGTCCACAGCTACAAAAAAAACACACAGAGATATACCAAAATCCTATTGTCAAGAATGTTAAACCTCAGGATCCACTTGAATCCATATCTGCTGATGGTTCTGAAGGTGTCAACGCAGATGCATCATCTCCTCCTTTGTCTGTTGTTCCAGTTTTGCTGTCATTATCTTCATCTAAACTATCGCCATCATCCTTACTGCTTCTAGAGCTCACAGGTTCCTTAGCTTCGCCACCTTGCACTGTGGAGTTCTTGTTTCCTTCAATTGTTGAACAGAGCCTCGGTTTTTTAGGACTCTCCTGTTGCTCATTTTCGCTGCAAGGCGGGTTTTTGTTTTTCAGCCTAAGAAGCTCCTCCTTCTTTTCTTCCTCTGAGACTTCCGGCTGTTTTTTCGGATGAGGTTTACCGTCTTCACCATCTTCGTCATCCTCATAATCAACCAAACCTCCAGACCTATGATTAATAGAAAGCAGCAAGCACAGTCATTCACCCTACTTGTTGCTTATGAGTTATGATACACCTTCCGTGAATGTCTATCGAGAGAAATACCTCGGAGAAGCAGAACTTGCAGCTGCTACATTGGAATTATCGGGATTAGCTTCTTCTTTCTGTGTACTAGAAGCAGAAGCTGGCTTTTCTTCATCGCTGTCAGTATAGAAAATGTGATGAGAAAAGGTCAAGGCAAAATCTTAAATCATTGATTGTTTTTCAACACGAGGTCCTAGGGCATGAACCTGTTTTCTTTCACGTCGTTGTCCTCCTGTTTATCCAGAGCGCGCTCATTGCCTCCCATATCAACTGGAACAGTGGTGCTCTTTGTTCCCTTACTTTCTAAGCACTGAAGACACATTGTTAAACAAATATTACTTCAGGAAAACTTTCCAATGTAAAAGCTTTCCCCAAGTAGAACTTAGATAAAAGAAAGATACCTGCTCATATCTCGTTTTGAAGTCCTGGATGGAGGCCAGGTGCTCAAATGAAGCCAACTGGTCCCACAATGTATCACCCACGTATTTGAGCAGCACAGATGAATTTGCCTGCACACAAAACGGTAACATGTACAGAGGAATATCTCTGAGAAACCAATGGAGAACAGGATGAGAAATAGGAACCTTGCGTATGTGCTCAAGAAGCTCCAAGACAGCAGAAGTCAGCAGATTGTCCTGGTTACCACCGCCAACAAGAACATCTATAATCGGTTTCAGCATGTTGTTCTTCACAACGTAACTGTCGACATTATCATCCTGAAGTAGAACAAAATTTTAGAAATGGCATCGTTATTGTCATCCGAGAAGCTTTTGTAGAACAATATTACAGAGCGAGGAAGAAGAATGCACATATCAGCACAAGGAAAAATTCTGACCCAAACTACTTACAGGGACAGAAAGGAGATTGCGGAAAAATCGAATAGCAGCAGCCACGACTGGTTTTTCCTTTCTTCGAGTGAGAAGCAAAACCTTTTCTGCCACATTTTCAATGAGAAAACTGCACGTTTGCAGACAAGAGAAGAAATGCACAAGAGTATTAGATGGCTACTATAGTGTAGATAAAAACAGAAAGATAATGCGGTTATCATCATAAAGGTTACGTTGTCCTTGATGAATCCTGCTGAACGCAAAAGCTCAGCAATTCACAAATGTTCAATAGGGTTTTGCTGTCAACTCTTCCGGATGCACCTTCAGATGTATCGCCAGGCCTTTCGGGACATGAGGCAGTTATGAAATCAACTAACTCAGGCAGATGCTTTTCACAGAAAATATCCATGATTTTCGCTCGCTGCAAAAATGAAATTTATCCAAGAATTCTAATTAACTGAAATCAAGATGTCTTGCAGAAAAAGAAGGAAGAGTAATCATGTACCAAACACTCTAGCATTTATGTGTCCAAGAGTAATCAATACAAGAAATACTGAAGAAAATGCAACGATACACACAAAAAGAGGAGAATACTATCTCCTTCTGCTTATCAGAGAAAAGGGATAATGAAAGGGAACAAAGATGCACCTGAACTCCACCAGAAAATCCACTTGAATCCAGTATAATTCGCAAAACTTCTAAAAACTGATCACCAAAATCTTCCATCATTCCCTTAACCTATTACGCATAATGAGAACCAAATATTATTCCAGTCTAATATATAACACAAAACAGGAAACAGCCTCGCAGCTGAAGAGAAAAACAATCCAAAAGAGAACTAGAATGAAAGGAAAATTACCAAGAGACTAAGGAGGGAAGTTTCCGGTCGAGCAACATAAGAGCGCAACAGATTGGGATCAGGAGTCAAGAAAAAAACGAGGATATCTATCCTGCATCCATTATACAACAATTATCTTGAGTATATAACTAAAGAATCACGGTCAATTTATAATGAGTATATAACCAGTAATAATATACCCGGTTGCTACGAGTTTCTTATCTGGACTCTGCAAGAGCTCTGCTATGATGTCAAAGATTCCTTTGTTCATAAGTTCTCTACAAGATGATTAGATAGACGAATATTCCACGTAAGATACAGAAAACAGACGACATTCTCAAAAGCACTGAGATTATAATCCCGGAATGATGTTGCAATACACATGATCCATTTCAGTAGACTAATTCTCAGTACTAAAAGATTTAGTTTCTGAAAAAAGTAAATACCTAAAGAGACGTAGTTGCGGCGCCAACTGGAGGCTCTTGCTTAGACTACAAAATTCGTGCAAGAGATATACCTATTTTTGGAGAATAAAAACACATCAGACTAACTCACCCAAAATCAATACAGTTTGGGTGAAAATATATTGTATGCTGCCATATCAAGATAATCTACTATCTGCTAGACAGAGACAGAGGTTTGGAACAATTCTATCTAAGAAACTTGCTGATAGGTAACTCCCGATAATCAGAGAAACTTACCAGCAGGGCCCTATACAAGGAATTTAACTAAAATAATCTTTTCCATACAGTACTCCATGAATAACACAAAAAACATAATCTTAAGAAAGTGACGAATGCCTCATGATGCCAGGAAATACCAAATTATTCCTGGATTCCACAGATGTCGTAGGTGACCGCAACGTTGCAAATAACTCTTGGATAAAGGTGCTGTCATCCCTCAGACGTGTAACAACCTGCAGAAGATAGTCAATAGTAAATAAAAATATTGGTTGCATGCATATTGCATTCAGTGTCGTTAAATTTGAAAATGTTTATTTGGATGGCTTACGGTAGCTTTGATTGCATCGATGACTGATTTTACGGTAGCTTTGATTGCATCATCTAGTACTCTAGCCAAAACAAAATCCTGCAAGAAATGAGGAAAATGTGAGACCTTTCACTTAATTATAAATTGTTTACAGGAGAGTTCATGGGATTGAACCTTCAGATAACCAATTATGTAGATTTGGTGTATCTTCGACAGGACCAGGGGATCCTTAATGGGTATAGCCTGCAAACAATAACGATGTTCTTCAAGTCTCAAACTTTCCCCAAAACGATCCTACATAATGTATCCCCGATATTTTCTATTGAAATAATGTGTCCCCTGTGTTCTCAGTCTACGCTAACTGGTCCAGAACCACATGGAATCATGAACATACGAGAATATTGTATTACCTCCTTCAAAACAGCATGCTCTCTCAGATATTTCCGGTGATGTTGAGGCTGAGGAGCATCGGGATCATCTGTATGGAGAAACAAAATACGTTTAGAGCAAACCAGAAAGGAACCACAAAGGTTATAGGCCAATGTATACAACTTTCTGTTTACTAAGGATACAACCAAGAGCGTGTAAATTCTTCAGTCTCCACAGGTGGGAAGTCTCCAAAGCTCCGATACAGTTTCTTAAATGGTCTATGCCATAGCTACATTCTATTGGCCATTCCCTTCATCGTTACTTTAAATTATGATCATCAAACCAGAGGCATAAAAAGCTTACACTCAAGGCACCCGAGAATTTGCATGATCAGTTTATCCCCAAAGATTTTCTCCAGGATCTGAGAACTGTTGAGCGAAACTGCATAAAAAATAGAAACAAAATATGCTGCTTATTACATAAACTTCAGAAACTTGAGTAAGAAATAAATGATGTTGAGATGTATGCGAATACTAACTGATGCCTTTGACAATATCGAATATCATGTGAAGATCATCAACATTATTGGATTCCTCACAGATTTCAAATATACCCATCAAATTCCCAAAGAAATTAACCTGCATCAAGTATCAGGAAAGACAGTAGGTTAAGGGTTTCCAGTGTCATTTCCTTCACAAAATTAACGAGAACAAATGAATTGGAAAGGACAAGTAAATACTTACATCCTTCAACATAAGTTGGGTTAACCGCATCTGATCTGTAGTGCCACTTTCAGTAACAATCTACAGGGAAGGTGGAAATGAATGTTAAAATCCTCGACAAATTAGAGACCAGGTAATTGCAAATACTTGACAATAAAGATTGGAGGTGCAAATTATCAAAAGAAAATTGGAAAAAATCAGTAGGGAATGAAAAGCCAATGGAGGTTTAGAAAAGTAGGCATCCAAAAGTAATTATCCACACAATGAGACATTACAATTAAGTTGAAATTATAACCACAAACGGGACATGTAAAGTATATACACTAACCAAAATGCAAAGAAAGGCAAAATTAGAACCTGGTGTATGAGGGGAAGAGTAGATAGCTCGACATCAGGAAGCTCCCTCAACTCATAGTTCACGTTGTGAAATTGTTCGCCTGCTCAAGCAAAGATGATTATATTGTCAAATACAAAATTGAGTGGAAAGCATCCGGAAGTTTTAATCATCATGAAAGTTGCAGTCATCATTTGATAATATTCATACAAAATCCATGACCAACATAAGGAAAACAAACATGCTTAGAAAACGATCAAAAGATTGATCATCGTGAAAGTTCTGAAACATATTACTTCTTTTCAAATATTCTAAAGTAAAAAAAAAGAGCAATTTTCCACACACATCTGAAAACTCCATCAATATCAAAATACAAACTTCGAACTCAGTCCAATGACACGGTAAACAGAATATATTTATAATAAGAAAATGAAAAAGCATGCGTTATATATTTGATTGAAATGTCTCTTACTGTTCACAGCACTGAAATGTAGATTCCGTTGCATAGTAGCTATTTGATTCCTGAACATGACGAAAAAACATTTTTTGCAGTCAGGAGAATGATCTATAGACTGGAAGCTCATCCGAAAGAAGACAATGTAATTTTGTAGTCACTTACCATACATGAGAGCATCCCGCAGTCTCTTGAAAGCTCAAAGCCAATTCTGTTGAGCGCTCTGGGTCTCTCCATGAGATAATTGAGTCTGTACATTGATACCGATACCACTTATCCACCAAACAAACAGAAAACCAAAGGCAAAATAGACCAAGCAATGTTCAGTGGCTACCTTCTTGCTTCCTGTAGATATCCTCAGTGCTGATGCGGTGTACAAGCAATGTCTCATTATCATCTTCATCAACTACATACAGACCAAGTTCTTGCGATCGCTGCATTGTATAGCGTTAGCTACAAGTTTATTTCCAGAATGCGCACTGCAGCGGGAGGGATCCAGGATTTAGAACAAACCTCCATATAGTCCATACTGACGAGTCCAGTTCCTCGATCATCCCAGTTACCATCTTCATTCAAACGATATACCTTCACTCTCTGAACAATAGGAACAAGTATGAGATTGCTAGAAATAGTGTGAGGAGAGCTCTCCCAGACTTGATTAGCATCATCATTTACAGTTTCTCATAAATCTTATACTTTCAGATAGTAATGTCCCAAAACTATTAGATTTTGCTACGCAATCACTAACAGAGCACAAATGCATTGAACCCCATCTTCGAGATCCTCTAAAAACCCAGTTCACTAGTGAATCGAATCGCAATCGCTACGTAGCTACGACACAGCTAAGCATCAAAGAATCAAGAAAGACCGATAACATACGAGCACCGAATTCTCATTTCTCAGCTAAAGCATACTAACGAACCAACAAGAGAGACACACCTGCATCGAATTGGTGTTAAATTGCGCGTTTTCCATGGCGGCCATAGCTAGCGGAGATCCCGAATCGAGCCGCCGAAGTCAGCACGGCGGTCAAAGAGTCGGCACTCGACACCGAAGTGAAATTAGGGTTCTTGGAGCTAAAGAGAAGGAGATACAGAAGCAGACGGAGTAGAAAGACGCGGGAGATTAAGGGAACGGAACTCAACGGAAAATCCTAACTGCCATTGACGTAGAACCAAGAAACCTTGACCATTCCTCTCTCTAGTTTCTCCCTCTCTCTCTGCTCAGTTCAATTTCAATGTGTTTTCTTTTCTTATCTTCTCTATTATTTTCGCTGCGCACAAGCTTTTCTTCAGTAACGCAGAAGACCAGAGAAGAAAAAGAAAACAAAATTAAGCAGAAAATTACACGCGAAAAAAGGGAGATATATCAAATATGCAATGCAATGCATCGAATTTAAAATCCGTCGAAAACCAAAAAAAAAAAAAAAAAAAAAAAATTTAAAATCCGTCCGATTTATATCGACTATCTTTAGCTACGTGTATTTGTCTGCACAATTAAGGAATACGTAATTAAGCAAACAGGCCTTGATTTCGAAGATGCTTTCCTAATTTTGGTTTTAGTCACTTGATGAACTCTGCTGTCAAAGTTTTTTCTAAGTTTCAGATAAGAATATATGTTGGTTAGTTGTCACTTGTCAACAATCAAACAAAAATATTGTGGTAAAAAAATGTACAAAGTTTTACTGCTAAAGATAGTTTAAAAACTTGAAAAGTGATATTGAATTATTAAGATTATAAATATGAAGTTCGTAGCTATGATTATTTACTTTGTGTTTTTCTTTATCATGATGTGAAGAAGCTTATATTTCAAAAATGATAATGTCACTACTAGAATATTTTAACGAATAGTTGTTTTGATCTAGTTCAAGAACATCCATTAAGCATTTTTGTGCGATATTTAGTTTAATGATCCTATGATGAAATGGATCACCATGCGGCATAGTGTTAAGAAAATTATGAGTCTTGTCTCTAGTCTACAGAACTCATTAGTTATAGAGCCCATTTCGTATAAAGCCCAGCAATGTTCTCCCGTCACCTACAAAGCCCAGTAATGTTCTTCATTAAGTAAAAGAGAATAGACAAATTCTTTGAGCTCATGGCTCATGCTACAATTTGTCCCCAACAGCTATTTTGTATTGTGACAACATCAACGCCGTTGCCTCTCTTTGAACTCGTTTCAGCACCAAACAATTCGAACTTTACACACCAAAAGCATTGCTTTAGAGTCCTTCAGCATTACGCCAATTTCTTTTTTTTTGTTGTTGATAAAGGTTACGCCAATAAATTCATGATCATGAATGGACATCACAAGCCACTTTTTACCAAGTTCCCTTCTAGTCTAAGCGTCCAAGCTTTAACCCCTTCGACTTGGGAAAGTATTATGTCAGATTAGATATGGTACTTGGGTTTTAATTAACTATGCAGTTTAGATTCATTTGTTAAGATATATAGCTATATACCTAATCGATACAATAATATCACAGGTGTTTTACAATCTTACGTGAATTCTTTTAAACAACAGTATATAAAAAACACACAAAAAATTAGGAAAGAATATAACATGATTGACGTGAAATGTATTGAGCAAATAACCTTCTAGATGATATAATTTCCCCTGTAAAAAAAAACTTCATCAAAAAATACTTCTTTTAGCTTTTTCGTAAGGGAATTTTGTATTATTTCTTGATGTCATATAGAGAAATAATAATTTATAAATATGACGTATCGTGTCAAAGACGTCATCATAAAATAATTCGGATCGGATTTGTGTGATAGCAATGACCCTGTAACCGATGGTTACCCAGACGGCGAAACTTTTTGAAGTCTTATGGATTGGATCAAATTTAGATTTGTTATCAGATTAGGGTAGTCTCGGGCCCTCAAAGCCGGCCTTATCTATTTTGTTTTCTCAGATTATTCTACTAAAAGTATTAAACTGTAGTTTTCAGCTTACTCAAAACAGGATTAACGTATGGGAAAACCTTGTAGAGATCAATATCCACAACGAGTTTATATTCGTTACATGCATAAACTAACTCAGCACTTGATCGTTAGAGTTCAATATTTTCTAAAAATTACAAGAAAATTCTAAAATCTTGATACATATAAATATAGAACATGATTAGATGAGCTGAGTTGTGTGGATAGAGTGTTGATACAATCCAAAAAGGGAATGAGTTGTTAAGATAGAGATAGAGCTGTCTAATATCATTGGAAGGTTGGAAACAGTAAGACGCATTCTTGCATCAAAGTCACGTTACGTTGCCAATTTAATCAACACAATTGTATATGATATTAATTTATGATTAAGATGTACGTATATATACGAAGATCTATATAGCATATGTATATATATTATATATATATGTGTGTACATGTGCATGAATATATGAATAGGGAGTGACAGATATTGTTAGTTGGCAATGCCTTCAAGCAAACCACAAACCTTTTTATCCTAAAATTATCTTCTTCTTTTTTTCTGTTATTTTGAGATTCCCATACATATCATCTTAAAATTCTTCCAAACTTGTATGAGTTTGTCTATTGATATATCACCCATTCGCAATTAATGCGAATGTTTGTTTATTAATAAACCTGAATTTTTTATACAGCACTTCTAATATTGCATGCTTGTTGCATGGATTATCATGTAACATGCATCAATAATTCGTATTGAGATTCAGATCTCGAACTATTGAATTTAAATTAGTAATCATCGATTGAATTAATTATCGGAGTTGAGAATGATTAGATGCTCTCTTCAAATATATTATCTTTTATGATTCCATAGATATAGATTGGTTGGTCAGATCTAATTAATCAAACATATAATAGATGTTTGACTTGTTAGTATGAATTTCCAAAAGCTTTTTCTTGGTATAAAATCTGGTCAGTCTAAATTAAATGGTGTAGTAGATATGAGATAGATATGAATACGTTTTCAGTACCAGTATTTCTTATAGAGAATACGATTTGTTTGGGTGGATTAACACGACTTGACTTGGATTGCCATTGCTAACGTGGCCAAGAAATGTCTTAATCAACTCCAGAGAACGAAGTTAACGGAAACTGACACATCGAATCATATGAATTCTCTTCTTTTTTTATAATTTTTCTCCAAAAATATTTATAATTGGGAAAAGCATATATATAATATGGCCCCTCACATCACCCAATAACCAACTTATATTTATGTACACATATAGAATTAGAACCATATTGTTTTATTGGTAGAAATGTACGCATACACTTAACTAAAGTATAACATTTGATTGGTTAAAATGTAAGTTTGCTTTAACGATATTGCTCATAGGACTGAGCAGATTTCCTGGCAAAGAATTTTTCCAAACCAACTTTAGATAGAACACTAAGATGTATTACTCCATAGCAAAGTAGACTTTTCTTTTTTTGCTTGCATCCATAGAGAAAATAAATTCTATAATTGTTTTAGTTTACTGTCTTTTTCCAAAGTTCTTCTTAGAGTACTAAACAAATCTATCCAAATTACAACGTCCTGATTTGTATATAGACCAAAATATCAACTGCTACTTAATAGATAACCAAAGTAAAATGAAGACTCCCAAGTCACGAGAGAGTGTCTTTCGTTGGGGATCACGTGTCTGTGAAGCATTTTTTTTTGGTTGCTCAGACCACTCGTGAACCGTACAGTTAAAATCATTCCACCAATCCCATTTCAGATTCCTATTTTTCATTATTTTATTTATTTTTCTTCTGAAGTTGTTAAAACACAAGCCAATTTATTTTGGTTTTTGTTTGAATTAATTCAAATTTACCAACCTCGCGCAACTTGTTTTTTTTTTTTTTTGTCAGGTCAGAAACAATTACAAGGTTGATCGTAAAATCGAAACAATTAGAAGATATATGGTGGTTGTTTATAGACAAACAACATATAACCAGTACCACACCAAACTTGTAATAATCAGCGAGGTAATTATAATACGTTGCTTGAAATTAAAGACTCATTTTTGCAGAAGAGAAATGTTCTCGGTAGCTCGAAGAAGTTGGTTCCAAGGTAAAAGTTTAACATACTAGAAGTGAACTGTTTAGTTTGTATTGCCTGAGATGTTACATTGTACATTTCACTACAGCACATATGTACTGTGTCATGTCTTCTAAATTAAACTCTATGTTTTGTGATGAGTAGCTTACCGTCTATATGTGCTATGTATTACACCCTGACCATGCACACCTTTTGGTTATATATATATATATGCAATTTGTTTTTCTGGTTAAAGTTATATATTTATATATATATATATATATATATATTATGTAGATAATTAGATGGATTAAAACAATTGAAATAAGAGAAACGGTGTTTCATAATTCGGGCAATTTTCACAGGGATATGTGGTGCAAAAGGAACATCAGTTTGTTACACACTGGTTTATTTGTATTTCTAAATATGATTTTGTTAAACTGATATCACATTCACTACTAATCAACTATCAATTTTTCGTTAACGGTCAAATTGTTGTGTATGAAGAATGATAGTTAATGAGAAGTTTTTAGAAGGAATTCAAATCTTCATATATACTCCCTCCGTTTTTTAAAGATAAATTTTCTAATTTTTTCACACGGATTAAGAAAAAGTTGATTTTCAATCATTAGTGCATAGATTTCTGCAATAAAACAACTTTTTATAATTTTAAACCAATAAAAATCCAACAAATACAATCAATATTTCTTGAAAACTGAAAAAGTGTTTCAAAAAGGTAAAAAATTTATCTTTGTGAAACAACACATAATTGCTAGAAAATTCATCTTAAAAAAACGGAGGGAGTATATATATATTTATATATGGGTATATATTAAGTTGCGTATCCAATATAACTCGATAGTGTCCTTAATTAATAAAACCCAACTAATTTCAAGCTTTTGCTATATATAACCAACTACAAGTTAGATAGTTTGTTATATTGTGTTCATCACAACAACCATATTTGGTTGTATTAGACCACA